ACAAGTGTACACAATACATGCGCGTGCACATAAAGCGCGTATGCTCGCGCCGTCGACGGATGAGTCATCTCGAGCGCGTTACACGCACGATGGCGCAGAACTTCCTTTTTTTTTCACGATCGTCAATAGTTAATGTTGCGTACAACAGATCTAGAAGTCGAGAAATTATTTCTCGATAAGAGAATTTTAATACGTGAAAATAGGCTGAAAAACCTGGTACACTTGTAAAGATTGTCGTTTTGAAACTCCAGAGATAAGAACTCTATGAATTTAAAAATGCAATAATGTTAGAGAGATACGAGAAGTTAAGAATTAACTGTGATACATATCGAAACATTAAATTTTTTTTTTTTGAATTCTACGGTGGAATTGAAATTATATATACGAGTACGATCCTCTAGTGGCAAAACTCTGTTAAAACTAACCGAAAAATATTTCCCATCAGAAGTTTCTCAAATCCCCGAAGAAATATATGGTGTCACTCTGTGCTTATATCTTCCCAAAGGAAAAGAAACATAGAAAGCAAGTACATATATACGATGTTAATTTATGTACACACCATATTGCGATATATCATACATACCAAAAAACTTTTAAAATAAATAATTTTCAGCAAGTTACTATAATTATTTGTGATTCTTTTTTTCATTAATCTTTTTTTTTTTTTTTAATAAAATTAAAGATACACTCTTTTCTCTACGAAAATTTTTTCTTGTCAAAAAAATTTCAAAATAGATACAGTGGACTTTATAGCCAACCAAAAAAGTATATTATTTTCATTTACTGATAAGATATTATTTTTTTTACGAATGTATATTTAATAATAATAATAATAAATAATTTTTTCTCTTGCAAAAAACCAATATTGAAAAGATTAACGTGCATTCCAATGTAAGCTAGGTTTGGTATGAAGGGTTAAATTACGCTCCTGCGCAGAGCGTTCCACGACCCCCTTCACCCCCGTCGCGGCCCCGGCAGCGTTCTCCACTCTCCTCTAATGTGGTTCTCCGCTCTCCTCGTCGCCGGCGAACTCGTCGTCGTCGTCGTCGTTGTCGTCGTCGTCGTCGTCGTCGTCGTCGTCATCCGCGTATCGCGCCGCGCTTAGACTGGCTTCTCTCCCTCAGTCTTCGCTCGCCGGCCGTTGGCAGAGGATCTAGTATCGATCGCGCTCTCGCGATTGTAGATCTTCCGTGTCGTATACCTCGCGCATTTTTGCCATTCCCATGAGAAGCATGTTGCTCCGACGTGAGCATCGCGGGGTCCTTCGGGCCCACGCGATCGCGCTCTCTTGAGACCCGTGACGTCATCCCGATGGTCCATCTCCTCACCAACATCCTTCTCTTCCTGATCCTTTCCTATCCGATCCTTGTAAGATCACTCTTATGGATGGTATCGCGTCGGGAGTGCGCAACATCGGGCTTTTACATATAACACTTTTCGAGCTTTTTCGTTCTCGAATGTGTAAGTCGAAAATTGGGACGCTCGGGCCACCGTTGGATTTCTAAACAGCGGACCGGACTTTTCGGTTCCTGGACATGTAGATGCAAGGTGTGTGTGTGTGTAATCATATGGAATGCACGTACTCTGGGATTTTCAATTCTCTGGGGATTTCAAGTATATCAAGATTCTGCGATTGAAATGTTTCTTTCAATTTTTAGAATCTTAGATGTATATAAATCGAAAACTGAAAAACGCTGAATTTTCATCTCTATCGTATTTTTACATAGATGTAACTGAAATAAAATATTCTCTCAAGTATTTTCCACAAAAATATTAAGTTCTGTAAATATCATTCGAAATTTTATAATAAAGACTTTTTCATACTCCAAAGTACAAAGTTCGACGTTTTTTTCAATTTCGTTAAGCTTTAGCTCTTTGGATTTTTTCTTGAATGTGTCTATTTAAAGAACGTAGATAGCGATAGGACTTTTTATATATTGAAATTTTCGATTTTTAAATGTGTGTTTTTATCGTGTCATTTATTCATGTATTATGTCACGTATAAATTTTGTAGAAATTAGTTAACTTTTTAGTAAAACTTTTAGATATGTTTTCCATAGAACATAATGCTAATATGGGAATTTTTTTGTATGTATAGATTTAATAATCTGACATCTAAATCCTGCAATTTTCGAATCTTCGAATGCTTAATCGAAGCAACTATTTTATTCGTTTGCAGATGTACTGGATATTTTAATTAATTGCTTTAATTAATTGCTATGTAGATCAGGAATGTAATTGTGATGTAAATGAAATCTAATTGAGATGCTTGGCTCTCAATTTTTTAGATCCATGAATGTTTAAACTAAATGTAGGATATGCTTGAAGCATATTTTTAAATAAATTAATTTTTTAATTGACGATCTTTACATTCATTGAAAATATACAATTGGATCAAGACTGGAGCGAGATTTTAAGTTATTATAAAATAATAAATAAATATTCATGAAAATTTATAATAAAAAATTTTTTAGAGATTTCTTTAAACGTTCTCAAAAAGTTTGTACATTTTCTGTTATTTTACTATAATTTACCACACACACACACACACACACACACGCTCTGATGCAATTCAAAATATTTGATATAAAACTTTAGATTATGCTTGAAGATTGAAATGAGATAGACGCGATGAAATTAATTCGAAGAAATTATCGTTCTTTTCGAGCGAATGAAAGAACGCAGAGTATTCCGCATGATGGCAGGTGTTTGTGCTACACCTGTCCGCAGGTTGAATGTCTTGGTCAGGTTACGAATAGCGATAGTCTGAAACTAATATCTTATCTTAATTTTAGTCAGCATAGCAAAAAATTATTTCATTTACAACGCAATTTATCTACTAAAACTATCGGGTTAGTTCTCAATGATTCCAATAAATATGTGAATCAATTTTTCTTGAATATATAAACGTTTAGCCATTATTCTTCACGATTTTTTAATCTTCACAATTTAATACTACTATGGATAATAAAGTTCTAATACGGATAATAAAGTTCTATAAACGCTATTGATGCAAAATATATCCAAAGTTAACTAAAACGATAATGGAAAATAATAAAATATTAATACTTAAAACTTGCCTCCGTAAAATTTTGTACGAAATTCTTTAACTTTTGCTGAGCAGAAAATGAATTTATGAAAAAACTCTAATGGGTGGTATGTGAGTATTATTTATATCTAGGAGATGTCTATATATAAAATAATTTATATTTTTAATTTATTTCCCTCTTAGAGTAAAGCTTACTGAAATTAATTGAAAATGGCATTATTTGTTTACGGATTTTAAATTTGAAAGTTTAATTCATAGTTTTTTATTTCTTAATATGAAATATATAACACTTTAATTATATAAATGTTAGTTTAAATGTTTTTTTGTTTCGAAACATATCTCAAGCACCAAATATTTTTTATACTCGTATTTTAATAAAATTATTACTGAATAATTTTGTATGTGCGTTTCTAAAAAAGTAACATAATGATATCAAGTCTTTCTTCTTAGAAAGTTTCCATATGTTGATTTTATGTAAATTAATATTTCCGCTATTGACTTTTTGCAAGTAAACGTTGCTTCAACAACTTTCTCGAATTGTTTGATAATGCCTATTTAAACGACCACACTCGTAAGAGATATCGACAGATTGCGAGGGTATCGGGCCCATCGCTAGTCACGAGGTCCCACTTGCCGCTCGAAGCGTCGAATTCCACAACGTTTACTCATTCGAAAGAACGAACTCTCGAAGACTTCTCGGGGCCGGAGAGAAACTTCGATGGCGGAAGAGAAGTGGGAGAGCGGTCGGACGGGAGAGAGGTCGGACGGGAGAGAGAGAGAGAGAGGGAGAGGGAGACAGAGTAACCGATAGTTTAATCGGCCGTTGATTCTAACCGAGTATTATTCAGTTTGATCTAATTCAAACGGCTTTTCTCATAATTCAACGAGAATCTCATACTTTTCAAATAAATTGAAAAGTATAAAAATTTAGACAAACATGAAAAGAAGAAATTAAAAAATTACAACCTAATTTACGAATCTAAAACCTAATGTTATTCATATTTGAATTGATACAGTTTTGATATTTTAAGATATCTTTTGAGAGATTATAAAGAGAGGCAAAAGTGTAAGTAAATCTGAAAACTGCAGAACCCAAAGATTTTTAGGAATCTAAGATGGAGCAACACGCGGATAATATATAGACACGGCGTTATTTATAAAAATATACAAATCACATGCTAGCAAATCCCAGATGTATCACGTAATTTCTAAGTTAGTACATCGTCGCTTACAACAGATCTTTCGTAATGCTCGAGACATTGGTCGTCGTCCAACTGCCAAATTAGAATTGTAACTAACTAAAAGAATAAAATAACGTAAGGAATCGAGAATTCAAAGATATGACAATCTCTGCTGTGTTTTTAAAATATAAAAAAAAACGTTAGAATATGCAAAATATTTTTAGTAAAGTATAAAAATTCTTAAAGCGCAGGATATTTTGAAAACCAATACTTCGTTAAACTGAATCGAGAATGGACTTGATACTAGTTTATCAAATTAATTTAAACTATTGTTCTCGTTTTAATTTAAAATAGAAATAATTGCAAATATGGGAAAGAGAGAGAAATATGTATAAAGATCAAATAAAAAAATATAATGAAGAAATAAAATACATTTTTGTAATATTTTACATTTGATTTAATCTTAAAATAATAATCATGAGAGATCAAACAAATAAAAGTCTTTTTTCTGTTACTTATATAAAATAGAAGTTATTTAAAATTTGTTTCTCTTCTAATCCATTATTTTATTATTTCTGTTAACGTTTCCGCAAATAAGCGAATTTTAAATCTGGCAATATACGAAAAACAATCGCAAATGGCGAACTACAAGAAATATGAGAAACACGCGAGTAAAGAATGCGCGAATACGGAGCTTCTGTTGTATTAACTGATGTAAGGGAAAAATTTTGACAACAATTGCTGACGTATCGCAATTATTGATGTTTCAGCGTCGACCGCAGGACCGTGCCACGACGTGAGCATCACCGACGTGAACTCCAACCATCATCATCACCATCATCATCATCCCGAACACAACCAGCACGACCATCGGCCTCAAGACCGAATTCCATCGTCCTCCTCGATGTCTACCTTGCTATGCTGCGAGCCAGTATCGGCTGGTCGGCCTCGGGCCAATCTGAAACTCGTGCTGAATCGCAGCCTGAGCGAGCCAGGACCGAGTCCTTGTGCCTTCCCAGCATCGTCAACCGCTTCACCGATCGGAACCTCCGTCGTTAATAACAATAGCAATCCCACTGTACCCTCGATTATTATCGACGAAGAAACGAACGGTGACGATAACAACGACGACGTCCACCGCCGTGGCTTCCATCACCTCCACTATCATCATCATCATCATCATCACCATCTCCATCACCTTCACCATCATCAGCACTTGTCGATAACTACGAAGCGTTGCAAACTGGAGACCGCTAGTCTGCCCAACAGTCCCTGCGGGGAAAACGGCACCCTTCATCGTCAGCTGGTGTTGAGCAAGACCCGCGTCGTCACTTCCGACGATCTCGCTCAGCGTCTCGCGCGTCTCGATCGACCCTCCGCCGTTCCGCCGGTGATTCTGGACTGCAGACCGTTCATATTATATAATGTCAATCATATACGCGGCGCAATCAACGTTAACTGCTCGGATCGTTTCAACCGACGCAGACTCCAACTGGGGAAAGCTACTCTCGCCGATCTCGCAACTGCTCGCGAGGGCAAAGAGCTGCTCAGGAGGAGACAGTTTAAGGAAGTTATAGTGTACGATGACTGCACCGATGACCTGGAGCATTTGCCCGTTCAACATCCATTGTTTTTGGTACTCGCCGCCCTTGTGGATGACGATCGGGAACCTGCTCTGCTAATCGGTAAGTACTCTTGTTTTTCTTGATTGTCTGGCTGATATTCTGATTCAATAGAGTGACTGTATTGCGAAGCTCTCAACTCTTTATTATAAAGAGATTGGATTGTGAAGCGATAAATCATATGAATTTTCTTCTCTTTCGTACTATAAACATTAAAATAAATTACACATTGGGATATAATCTTCAGTAATATTCTAAAACCATTTATTATTGTATTAATGCTTAAGAATTAAGAGGTACGATAAACTACTTGTTTTTATTTATAAAAAATATAAAATTTGATATATAAATTATCAAATTATAATTATTAATTCTTATCCGAAAGCTCTCGCCACAATATGAAAGATTCGAACTGAAAAATGAGATTCGTAGTATACGTCAGATAGATTGTTATCGCTATATTTGCTATGGTTTAAATTTAGTTTTTGTCATATACTCTGATGGCCAGATGTGCTCTTTGTGTTATCGAATATAACACAACTGATAGTGGCAAGATAATGGTGTACAAAGATATCAGATCCACAACAACAATACATCTTAGACAAATTTCACAGTAGATAGTGTAAGGTGAATTGTTACTTGAAAATATACGGACGAAACTAGAAATTTCCTCAAGTTTCTTTGCAAATAATTTTTCAAATACGCGCAAGAAGAACGCACGAGAAGATCTAAAAATGCGTATCTAGATATTTAAAAATGAAAGGCTACAGGAATATAAAAACTGAGAATAATATTAACAAAAATGATATCTTTAACTTTGCAACGTTTGGAAATTTTGAATGTGGATATTAAACTTAGACGTTTAAGCCTTAACATTAACATTCTTCAATCTTTTTTCTTAAATCATTGGATTTTTAAATCTTTTAATCTTGGATTTTATTACTTTTATTTTTCATATATTGAATATTTTCGTATTTAAAAGAGAGAGAATTTGAAACTTATCAATTTCACTAAACGATCTTAAATAGATACAAAATGAATATGTTGAAGACATACACATCTCTAAAATTACACACAACATATAAGAATAATATTAATAGTTTTTAGAAACAGAAAAAAATTTAAACAAAATTGCTGTATAAAATTTATTAATACAAATTAGTACAAGAATAAATAAATTATGTTATAAATTATCCAAAAACTTGGAAACTTATTAATACGACGAGACTCTCTCTATCTCTCTCTCTCTCTTCTTCTCTCTCTTTTTTATCGACATTAAGCCTATAAATTTAAGATAAACTCTCACGATGATCTTTACACACGAAAAACTATTGGTAATTAATTAATATTGGTCTGTTCTTGCTGATTTTTTTTTTTTTGTAGTGCGGAATTTGTTTACAAAAGCGAAAAGACCATGAAACAGAACGAACTGTTTGTCGTCTATCCGGTCCTCTATGTAGGAGTGGGTCTCTAGTTTTCGGAAATAACGATGATGCGAGTGCGATATTTCTGCCGGCCGCCAATCGCGCGTCGAAACTTTTACGCCGAAATCATTCTCTCCTGCTATTATTTTTGTTGCTCATTATATGCTAATAATTTCCCGCACTTTTTCCACGATACGCTATTTTCAGATTATAATTTGTTTTCTTAACAATGCATTCTGTAGCGATTGTCAGTTTCACATTTCTATCTTAATTTTTCCCTTTGATTTGATAAATTTTGATTTATTAAAGAATGTTAAGCTGAAATAAAAAGAAAGAAGGGTAAAAAATTTCTGTTTAAAAACGAGATGAAGAAGAAAAGATTCAGCATTGAAAGAGGCTATACATATTGCTTTTAAGTGATTTGTATTGAAAGAAATATAATAATTTTTATTCATTTAATATACTTTTTAAATACTTTTTTATCAATATATAGACTTCATATTTGGAAAGATCACAATCAATAACATAGAATAAATTTAAATTTGGAACTAATTTTTTTTTTAAGAAAATCTTTGATGGATGCAAAGGGCATCACAAATTAAAATTAGAAGAAAAATATTTATTTATTTCAATTTTACAATTTTATGTTTCTTTTTCTTGTTTATTCAGTTTATATTTTTGCTTTTCATTTTTTCTTTTTAGTGAAAGCAAAAACAGCATAATTTCATTTTAGATTACGCATCCTTCTGACGTAAAGAACTATTTACTCCCGAGAATTTAAGAATGACGCAGGCAGCTTCTCGTACAATTCGAATAAGTACAATCAAATTAATAAATCAAATATATCAAATTCAGATAAAGCACATTTAAAGAATATTACTTTTCTCCGTAAGGAAAATCTTAATAGATATTTAAGATCGCCTTTATCCATTAATGTATAAAATTAATATATGTATAAATTAATAATATAAAAATATCACTTAATAATTTTAAAAGTCGAATGGGCAATAGTAAATAGAATGTTTATTTTAATAAAATTTCAGATTTATAAATATTCTCGGTTACGCTTTTAATCTGTGAAATCGGAGCGTTTTGCGAGAGAAGGTAGTGATTTTATTGGGAAATGTGCTCTTATTAGATTCCACGTAAATCTCGCGACATAACGTATGGCAGTTGGGAGATAATTCAAAGGAATCAAGGAAGAAAACGCAGACGACGAACCGTTCGAACGCTTGACGGCGACGACGACGGCGACGACGATCACGACGATCACGACGATTTATAAATATAAATAAATATAAAAATTTGTATACAGTACTAATATAATTAGGAAATTATCAATTTATTTGAAGATATAATAGTCAATTTTGAGAGAAAATGGTAGCAATAATAATATCTAAAATATAAAATTTAATTTTTAATTTTTCAGATTTAATTATTATTTTTTTTTTTTTTTAATCAGCAATGAGCGCAACGACGTCATTTTGTGATATCAATTTGTCTTGGCTAGTTATTACATAATTAGTAACGATTCGCGGTCGCCTATAAACAACGAGACCAAAGCATCGCGTGGCTCGTTTTGGCGAGGCTAATGCGTGCGTCTGGTCTCCCGGTCGGTCCCGATCGCATTTTTCTCAGACGACAACGACGACGACTACGACGTTGAAAGCATGAGTCACCGTGTATATCGACCCTACGGCATGTTTACGCTGGCTAAGCGCACGAACAGCCATATGTCAAAATCACGATTGCATAACGCATCCCCCGCGTTGTCACCGCCATGGAGTTTCACTCTCTTTCGGAATATTTAGATATGAGTCAGTTGCGCGGATTATGAGATTTTCCTATCAGCGCGACCTTACCTCTTACAGGTGTGCCAGTATTTCCTCGCTTCGATATAACTTACTTTCGCTTGAAAAAAATCACATAGATTGAGAAGAATGGGCTGAGACTGTAAAACAGATTTTTGCCAGTCTGTAAAACTACGCGTATTATTGAAAAACTGTGTTTTATTTTTCACTAAAAGTGGGAGCGGACAGTTTCCTGTAATTTATAAAAATTTGATATTTATTGAATTATTAATCACAAGCTATTTGTTTTCATTGTCAGTATAGTATATTATTATTTAATAACATCGGCAAAATTTGCAGATAACATTTATAGCTTCAGTCTAGCGGACGTTTCAATTATTTCGCAGCTATATCTTTGTACTTAGGTACTAGAAATAACTTTAAATACTGTATTGTGTATGTATATAACTTGAATTTCAAACTAAGAGTCTTATAGTGTGACTTGACTCTATTTCTGAAATCAGATGTGCATAACATTATTTTTGAAGTAAAAAAAAAGAATATAGATACAAGATAATAAGAGAACGAGAATTGCAAAGATTCATAAATATTGTTGATAATAAAAATAAATTAATAAACTAATAATAATAATATAATAATATGACAAGTATGTGTGTGTCACATAATTTATTATTATTATATGTAAATAATAAGAAGTATAATAAAATATACAGAACGGCGATTAATAAAATAACGATAAATTTTTAAATTATACGATTATAAGATTGAATATATTAACATACTCGTATATTATACGAGATAGTAAACGTTTTGGAACGTTTAGAGTCAATAAATGAAGCCGAACTTGAAGCTTAATGAATTAGTCATCGCTCTCCAAAGCCCGGGGGTTGCTGTATTTTTTCCATTGTACGCTTTTTCATCCCCCTTCCATTTAAGGGTGCGATGAGGAGGTAGTCTAATCGAGGGGGAGCGTGCGCCTCAGAACAACGTACAACGCATCTGGATCAGCTGTCGATGACGATTATTACGTATGAGTCATCCGATACACAGCTCGCTTTAAAATGTATCAATGACTAACGCGCGTCCAGCTCACAATCGTTCCAGTCCCTCTTGCCCCCTTACCCTTCGGATCCCTTTGTGCCGTACCGGCGTGATTCAAGTACTAGTAGGATCGTGATGAAGGATCTAAAAATACGGGGTGTCTGGTGACTTAGCTTCGCCTCGTAACTGCTCATAATCTCGTTTCCACGATATGAAACAAAAATGTCACTACGAATATACAGGTATGGGTATGTTTCGTTATCGATGACACAGACTGAACAGTATCCCAGAAACAAGATAATTTTATAAAAATGACAAGTCAAAATGTAAAAAAAAATTTTTCATATGAAACTTTATTTTCGAGAGAATTGAATTTGAAAATGCTGGTATAACTTTTAAGCCAATATAAGTTTTATAACACTGTGTGCCAGAATTAATGAATTAATTTCAATAGCCACTATCAGAATATGGATAAAAGTACAACTCTATTTAAAAAATGGAAATAAAAAAAATTTTAGTATTTTATAAATATTATAATTTGGCAATTATTTGCTATTATTTTATCAATAGAACATTTTTTATATTAATATTTTGTTAGTCTTTGTTAAAATACTTTAAACGGTTTAGATCGCAAACTGATTAAAAGTTATGCGAATTTAAAAAGAAAATCACAAAAAAATGTGTTATATTAATCTCCTGATTTTTCAAACTGTTTTCTTGAAAGAACAAAGCGTGTAAAAATTTGTCATGTAAAAAATTTTATTCTACATATTTGATTCTCTTATTT